TATAAAACTCGGTCGATTTTGTATATTCAAAGTCTGCGCATGTGAACTATTATTGGAAACGATGAAATAAGGGCTACTACTAAGTATTACCTATAGTCAACCAAATGTAGGAAATACATTTTGACAGCTGTCAGACTTGTTGCACCAAGTACGCCAACCAAAAATAAGAACGTATAATATTCGATTCATAAAAAATCGATATCAATTATTCAGAGTTGGTAATCAATAATCATTTACAGATACCGGCTAAGGCAAAAAGGGGAGTACTTTGAAACTGAGGAGATATGACGAAGGATTTTTTTAGCGGTAAACGCGCAAACTTGTGTCTTCTGGGGATTAAACTGGACTAGATTTAATCGCCCCCAGTTCGAGACTTTGTTCAACAAAGTTTCGACTTCAGACAAAAGTTTGTCCCGGTATTATTGGCATGGCCAGTGTATAAAGCATTACCAGAGCTGTCGTCTGCATAGCAATGAATATTACTAGTTTGCGACATGTCATTGATATGCATAAGAAACAGCGTTAGTGATAGCAAGTAGCCTTGTGGAACGCCAGCGTTAATGGATTTGTAATCGGAGCATGCACCGTCTATTAGGACCTTGATGCTCCGATCAGCACGAAAACTGGTGATCCAATTACACAATTTCTCGGGAAGCCCATAGGAGGGAAGCTTCGTAAGAAGCGCTTTGTGTCAAACCCGATCAAAGACCTTTGCTATGTCCAAACTAACGGCCGACGCCTCCCCTTGGACTCTACTGCCTCCACCCGTTTATGAGTTAGGTAAACCAGACGAGCGACCGCGACGGGAACCGTACTGTTGGTCACTAATCTTCAAGGAACCGCATAAGCTGGCTGTTAATAATGGATTCTATTATTTTTGAAAACAAGAAGGTGATGGCGATAGGCCTATAGTTGGACGGATCAGAGCGGTTACCTTTTTTAGGGATCGGGTGCATGAGGGCTGTTTTCCATGATTTCGGGACTACGCCGAGGGAGTATTAAGACCGGTGCCAAAGCATGCATCTGTGAAGCACTAAGTAGAGTGTCATCTTTGAAAGAACACATAGCTACATCAAAGCATATAAAAATATGAAAGGATATTTTGGCATTTCTCAGGTATGGAAGTTACTTACGTTAATATGTGGAATGTAATTCTTAGTTAATTATTCTTGCTAAGCCTTTTTTTTAATATTTTCAACTTACTCAGTAGTGTGAACCCGTATTATGTTCTAAAGTTTGTGAATTTGATTTCCACTCAAAATCAAACATTCGCTTTTTTATGTACGTTTATTACATACGCATTTACATAACAATTACTATACAACTATATGTGTTTATTAATGTTAAATGCTATGTAAAAATTGCTTAGTTTTTTATATAATATTGCGCTATATGAAATGTCTTGCATAATTATTTTTAACTTCTTTGGTTACAGATTAATACGATTTTCAAAACATGACCCATTTCGGAGGAAGAAAAAAACAGAAATCAGCTTTGTAGCTGCCTTAGTTGAACATAATATTCCTTTTCCCGTAATGGATCATGTAAGCGAAATTATATTAAGGGAATTTCACGATTCCGAAATCGCAAAACGTTTTTCCTGTGGATGAACTAAACCTGTCGCAATTGTCTACAACGTCGTAGGCAATAACTTCGAAAAAAAAAGTGCTTGCAGAATTACGTCGAAGACTGGAAAATTAAATTCAGAGAAGCCCGGTATTTTCGCTAATTATCGACGAGAGCACAGATGTCAGTAATACCAAGGTACTTGCAGCAGCAATTAAGTACTACTCAGAAAAAATGCAATCTCCAGAAATAACATTTTTGTGTATGGTGGACTTAAAAGGTGATACTACACAGGATTTGTTTGATAGTTTAACACGTGCCTTATCTGAAAGAAACCTTAATATAGCCAATTTAATAAAGTTTGCTGCTGATATCACGAATGTTATGTTCGGCGAAAGGAATAGCATGGTATCTAAAGTTAGTGAAGTCACCTTTTTTCAATGATTTGCCACTCAACTAATCTTTCAGTGAGTTATGCATGCAAAAAATTACCTCGTTCTATAGAGTTGTTTGTCAAAAACGTTTTTTCATACTTCTCTCAGAGTAGCAAACGACAAAGAAAGTTTGCCGAATTTCAAAATTTTACTGACACTTCAACTCACCATATGCTTTTTCTACATCAATGCATTCACCAAATTATAGAGCAGAGGTCAGCATTAAAAGTTTTTTCCCAAAGGAGTTTTTATAGAATAAGAATGCAAATGCTACTTGTCAATTTTTGAATCGCAGCAGGTTATGTATCGCAGCCGTATGGTATCTTGGCCCTTTGTTATTTATGTTAATGGTTAATGATCTTCCTACCGTCGTTAAAGAGGCGCAGTGTTTGCTATTCGCCGATGATCTTAAAATTTTTTTGAAAGTAAACAATGCTTCTGACTGCCAAAGTCTGCAAAGGGACATTGACAGATTGGCACAGTGGGGAATGGAAAACAAATTGAATTTCAATGTTAATAAATGTTGTATCATGAGTTATGGTCGTGCAAAAGACGCTCAGAAGTATGCTTATGAAATGAACGGCCTCGTAATCCCGCGAGTTACATATATTAGAGACTTAGGCGTTGAGATGATCCCGGAACTTAATTTTCGTAAGCACATTTTAAATATTTCTAAAAAAAGCTTTCAGGAGTCTCGGCTTTATATTAAGACAGTGCAGGGATTTTCAGAATTTATTAACTATTAGAATTTTATATAAAGCTCTCGTAAGAAGTCAACTTGAAACGAACGCAAGTATTTAGAATCCACATGAAAGCAAGTATAGTGTCATGGTCGAAAAAATTCAAAATAAATTCACGCGATATTTATACTTTAAGCAGTACGGAGTCTATCCTTGTTTTCCACTGATGTATCCGAGTCTGTTTGTACTGGGGATGGTTGGTTACAGCCGCTTAAGTGTGAGAAGAGACATCACGCTTATTAAATATGTGTGGAAAGTATTACGTGGATGGATATATCACCCAGATGTGCTCGCTGCGTTAAAGCTGCGGGTGCCTAATAATTACGTGTGTTCTAGTCGTCGTCCCCCATTACTCCTCGTGCCCGCTGCTAGGACGAAGTTGCTTTAGAATGCACCATGGTCACGGGCTGTACGCTATGTTAATATCATCTCACAGGATATTGACATATTTGCATGTAGTGAGACGAAATTTATTTATTTATTTATTTAAAAACTTACACGTAACACCTTAAGCTAAAGGGTACATAGGGCGGACTTAATGCCATGTGGCATTCGCTGCCAGTCAACCCTGGGTGCCAAGGACAATTGTTGGTAGGTGCGACCATTATACGTAAATAAGTGCTTATACATTAAAATATACATATATGCAAAGTACATACATACACATTACATTTAAATATACACACATATAGTATAAATATACGTACAATAATATATACTTACATATATATATGTGTATATATATATATATACATGCTTATAAACTTCGTAAATAAATATCCAAATTAATGATATATATAATATAATGTTTGAATAATATATAATGAAATAAATATTTGAAGTAAAAAAGAAGAAAAGAAAGACAAAAATTAAAGAAAAATAATGTTAATTAGTAGTTTCCTTCAGGTAATATTCTCGGAGAAGAACTTTGAAAACTTTTTTATTTGTGGCATTCTTAATATCGTTGGGGAGGGTGTTCCAAAGTTGTATCGCTTGTATCGTAAAAGACGACCTAAAAAAAATTGACTTATGCTGTGGAAACCTTAACCTCACACGGTTTGACTGTCGGGATGTTCGACCGTCGATCGGATGAAAAAAATGAAAATTATCCTTTAGATAAGAAAGCGACCTTGGATCGTTTAAAATTGAATAAAGTACAAGTAAAATTCTAGAGCATCGCCTTTGACGTATAGGTAGCCATTTAAGCTTTGAACGATAGGATGATATGTGGTCATACTTACGTAAACCAAAAATAAACCTTATGGAATTATTAAAAAGGCGCTCCAACTTGTTTAGAAGATTTGTCTGACAGATCTGGGTAACATACATCGGCATAGTCGATAATAGGTAGAATAAGGGAATGAACCAGCGTAAGCTTGGTTTTGAAAGGTAGGAAATTTTTAAGACGATAAAGGGAACGCAAGGTAGCAACAACTTTACGACTAACTTCAGAGATCTGCAATTTCCAGGTCATAGTTTTATACATGTACAGGCCAAGATTTTTTATGGAATCACAATATGGAATCAAACTTCCATTATAAATTACAGGAGAGAGATTTCCATAATCAACCTTAGCGAAATTCATGATTGCAGCATACAAATGCGTCGAACATTGTAATGTTTTTAATTAGTATTTTATTTTACCATTAATTTAATAGATTTCATACTAGATACCATTATTTATTAGCCAGTAGTTTTCTTATATTTAGGTTAGTTATAGCATCGCATTGGTTTAATAACTGTAATGATGTTATAATTGTGTAATAAATAAATAAATAAATTTATATTTGATCACCTTAACAGCGATGAGACAAAACTTTATCTTTACTTTTTAGATTTTATATTACCCATAACTACAAAATTTACCGTTATTTTTCAAAGTGATCAAACACTTATTCATAAAATTGAAACAGACATACAAAATATGATGAGTTCCATTTTGAGTTGCTTTATGAAGATAAATTATATAAAAACTACTCCGCTTCAGTCAATAGATCCAAGTTCAAGAATGCATTTCCTTCCTATACAAAACATGTACCTGGGCACAAAATTAGCGATGACATTGGATTCATTAAAATATGATGTTCGAATGAGTTCATTTTTGATCGAGCTGAGTAACCAATTTCTGCAAAGACGAGAGACGAAAGAGAGAAATAGAGAAAATTATCTCGTCGTTTATCGATCCCCATAAAGCAGTGTATGGTGAATTTCGAACTATAATAAGAACGTACTAAAATACTCCAAACGTTTTCTAACGTAGTTGCAACAGAAAACATGCAAATTGTTGACAATGAATATGAGGAATTAAAATTAGATATTTGCGTATCTAATTTACTGTTGACTTCTAGTTCGACATTTGAAACCTTTATGGTGGATAAATTTTGGAGTGAAGCTAGCCTAATCGGTGATGCGAATAGCAAACCAAAGTATGGCAATTTGTTCCGATTTGAATAACAAATGACGCACAAATGTGTAATTGTGAAGGGCTATAATCGTAGACAGAGAAATCTATAGATGAATTGACGCCTTCATTCGCATTCGCACACGAAAAAGATAGATTTATGCATACGTCTTGCACAGAAATGAGAAAGAGCAGTGTGATTCTTTGTCCCTTTCTCCGTGCAGGTTTTTTTGTTTAGCAAACTACACTTTGGTAAACAACTTTGACAGTTTGTAGCGATCTAAAGAGTTTGCAAGTTGGTTTAAGTGAGGAAAAAAGTGTTTTGTGAGCTTAAGATTGTGATGTGAATCTTGTTCTGTTCAGTTCTTAGAACAATTAAAAATTTTATCTAAATATGTTTAAAAGTTATAAAGATTATTTTATAACCTTAAACTACGTTATCGTCCTTTCTCACGCGAGGCCACGCTAATAATTAATCTATAGGTTTCTCTGTCTACAGCTATAATGGACTGGAATGATATTGATTTATTAGAAAGAATTTCATTACATTCATCTATCCATAACCGCCTTTAAGTATTAAACCAAAGGAGACGCCATCGCAAGGGATACCCCTCTGTAAAAGGTACAAGAGTCGGACACTCATGCTCGTTATATAACAGTCCCCGTCTGCGCCATACCGCAAGTGATCGTGCCAGTAAATCGAGCTCCGACAAAATGCCGAATTGCAGTGTATTTACATGCAAAAAACAATCAAAAACGTCAAATCTACAAAAGGACAACGTGACTTTTCATATGTGAGTATTTTTAACATAATATTAAAGTAATATTATCATTAAAACTGGTACTTTCTAAATATTTTCATCCAATACTGAGTGTTGCCATCATAGTTCATAAAGTGAAAAATAATCTATTATTATATAAATATAATTTACTACACAAGTTAAATATATTAACGAAAATGTATTCCATAATAACTAAATAAGTTTGTGATGAATAATAAAATAATAACATATAGATGTGTGTGGTGAATTTTGTTAAATGATTTATATATTCAGCTCAATTTCAACAAGATTCTGAATATTATATAATTTAATATAATCGATAACTATTATTTATTAAAATATTATACATAATAAAGGCCAAATAAGTCAAATAGAAACTTGCTACCTCGCAGCAGAAGTGTGCAATTTTTATAAAAATAAACTGGTATCACTGCAACCGAAAGTATTGCACTATAGTGATGTGCGCCACAACTTTAGCTATCGATAAGTTAATTAACCGTGCGGGTTTGTCTGCCGAACCGGTTTGAAGTTAGTATTTAGATTTTATAATAAAGTACATATTACAAAAAGTAGTAAATTTTTCTATTATTGGTTTGTTTTTACAGATTTCCAAGAGATCCTCTTAGGCGGCAAACTTGGATTGCTGCTTGTAGAAATCATAACTCTTGGATACCTAAACGGACTAGCACCATTTGCTCCGAACATTTTGAAAAATCATGTTTCATACCCCAAGCTAACAATAAAAGAAGGTTAGCCGACACTGCAGTACCAACCTTGAACTTGTACTTTTATATGGGTAATGTTTGGCTGTAATTATATTTAGACTAAATATTTTTACTATTATCCTTGACACCGATATTATTCTACTTGAAAATACATATTTTAGAATTTCGATAAGTTTACAAAAGCATTAATATGTCAAATTCAATTTATATATATATATATATATATATATATATATATATATATATATATATATATATATATATATATATATATATATATATATACATATAACGTAACGTATACAAATAAAACTGCATTCTTAAAAGTCTTATTGCCTTAACCAAGAAAAAGTAGGCCTTAACTTACGGGTTTCTGTTTGTTTTGACTGAACAGATTTAGTGTGACTGTAATTTACGTAGTTTTAATTATTTTTGGGATAAAAAATTACCATTATTAAAAATTATAGGAATCGATTCAGTTACGTGTGTGTATATATATATATTTATATATATATATATATATATATATATATATATATATATATATATGTGTGTGTGTGTATATATATATATATATATATATAGCTTGAATCTTCAAACTTACATAAGTAAATTACTTATTAAAAGAAAGCTGGATGTTCCGGAAATTTCCATATATAGCCCCAATATTCCTTTTATAGCCTCAACTAGTCCTACTCCCACTGCAAGTACGAGCCAACACTTGGAAGATACGCCCAGAAAAATTAAACTGAAAAAAATGCCTTGACATTAAAAACCATAGCATAAAAAGACTTCAATCGCAGAAATTGTATTTAAAGAAAAAAGTTACAAATTTGCAAGAAATACTAGATTCGCTAACCTCCACCTATTTGATTAATAAAGAAAAGAAACAGGTCCTAGAAAAGATAGGAATTGAAGAAAGTGAACTCTTAAAGAGACAATTACTTAAAAGTAAGACTGGAAAACCACCCAGAACTAAATATTCCCCAGAATTAAGATGTTTTGCCCTAACACTTAATTATTACTCACCAAAAGCCTATCGCTATGTACGTAAAACTTTTGGAACATGTTTGCCTGCACCACGAACATTGACTAAGTGGTACAGTACTATGGATGGCGGACCAGGGTTTACTCAAGAAGCGCTAACGGCATTAAAATTGAGAGCGGAGAGTAACCCTGATAAAAAAATTTATCGCAATTGGTCATGGATGAAATGAAAATTAAGCAATTGACGGAATACCATGCTAGCAGCCAAAAGCATTATAGCTATGTCGATTACGGGTTTGATTTTATATCCGACAATTCTGATGAAGCTACCGACGCATTTTAGTTTTTTTATCGGTTGGTATAAACACAACATGGAAAGTACCCATAGCCAACTTTTTGATTAAGGGTACGAGCGCTGAATTAAAAGCACGGCTAGTAACACAAGCTTTCTATCTTGTTCATGAAACTGGCATCGAAATAAAGGCGTTGACATGTGATGGTACAAAAACGAACCTCGCCATGGCGGAAGAGTTGGGCTGCTCCTTGAAGCCAGATCGACTGCAAACTACTATCTTAGATCCAGCTTCAGGGCAACAAACATACTTTTTTCTTGATCCTTGCCATATGCTTAAATTAGTACGCAATTCATTTCAACATTATGGAAGTTTTTTTCAAAACACAAATCAAATTCAGTGGTCATACATCCAAAAACTTCAAAAGTTACAGGAAGAAGAATTATTTTATATGGCTAATAAATTGAAAGCAAATCATATATATTTCAAAACGAAAATCATGAATGTCCGCCTTGGGGCCCAACTATTTAGCAGAAGTGTTGCTAATGCATTGCTGTTTTGCGAAAATGTAATGAAATTACCTATGTTCGAAGGAGTTACTCCAACAGCTGAGTTCCTGAAATTAATCAATGATGTTTTCGATATTTTAGACTCAAAAACATGGTCTAATGGATACAAACAGGCATTAAAGGTAAAGAATTATGAAAAAGCATTTACCAGGCTAGATGAAGCTAAATCGGTACTCATGAATTTAGAGACTAACATTATTAGTCGTAATAACGTGACTAAACGCATGAATATTCTAAAATCTCCTCGATACACAGGTTTTCTTGGCTTTTGCGTATGTATTGAGAGTGCAAAAGGTTTATTTGAAAACTTAATATTAAGACCGAATGCTGCACTAACTTATTTACCCCTTCACAAAGTAAGTCAAGACCACATAGAGATTTTATTTTCTATTATCAGAAGCCACGGTGGTTATTCTGACAATCCAACTGCACTTCAATTTCAAGCTATTTATAAAAAGCTGTTAGTGCACACTTAATTGATCCGAAATGAAAGAGGTACTAATTGCATTCCTTTAGAAAAAATTTAAATTTTAAATTGTACATCAGCAATTGACAAAATCAATAGCACTTCTCGACAAAGAAAAATGGAGTCGGAGGATGTTGCAGTCACAGAACACTATTACTCCTATTGGTTGCAGTACTTGCCACAGATAACATAAACACTGAAAAAAGTATGATGGATGAAATAGAAACCTACACATATTTATCCCCTTTTGGCGAAAAGTGGTGGACTAGATTGCAGGGTTTGTCGTTTTCTCAAGCTTAAAAAAAATTAAATGTGAAATATGCACTAAAGTCCTCTTAGGTCAGACTAATGTAAAAAGTCTGACTTATCAAAAATCTAGGGGAGGCTTAATGTACGCATCCCACGAAGTTATTGATTTATGTCGCCGGTGCGAGATAGAAATTCGGAAAAATTTTACTGCTGACAAAAAATTAAGCAGTCTGTGTACTACACAATATATTGTTTCAAAAACACTAAACCACTTTATTGGTAAACCATTATTTTCAAGCATAGGGGAACATTATTTTGATAATGAATATGTTACGCATAATATAGAATTAGCGAAAGTTGTGATAGAGGAGTATAGTAATATCAGAATCCATTATCTGTCTAAAAGAAATGACCCGGAAAAATGTATCCGTCATATTTATACTAAACTTATCCACTTTAAAAACCAGTAGGTTACTAGCTATTACACGCCATGTAGTTTAATTTGCAATGTAAATAAAAAATACAAACATAAAATAGTGATACATAATTGCCAAAAATAAAACAAAGTGAAAAAGTATTATTTTAAAAGTCAAAAGCGTTATGGTTTTATTGGCTTTTGGAGTGAATAAGTTTAGTACATATTTGACATACGTACCAACAAATTCTAGTGCTTGCATATTTTTCTATTACCAAGTTTGCCAGTTCAATGTTATGTGGACCTGGAAATAATGTTCCTGTATATTTAAAAATTTCGGCCTTCCAACAAAAAGTTTAAATATTCGTTAATATTTTTTAATAAATATTGACTGCTTAAAATTTTTGTCAGGAGTTAAGTTTTTTCTAATATCTATTTCACAAAGGCAACACAAATTAATCACCTCTTTAGATGCAAACAATAAGCCACCTCTACTTGTCTGATTAATTAAACTATTTTTGTCCGGTGCACCCAGAAGAGGTTTTATGCATGTGCTACACTTATTTT